CAAGACACCTCTTTAAGCACTGATGACTAAAATTAGGGTTTTAGACTGCACAAGGATAATTGAACTTTAAATGCCTCATATGGATTTCATGGATCACTATATCCCAAAGATTACTCATGTCAAGTTTCAAGCCTTGGATCACATTTTTGCTTAGTCAATTGAGCAGTTGGCCTAAAAATTAGTTGTATTGGGGAAAAAGTCAGCTGTGGCCAACTTACAGTAAAACTTCATAATTTTTTATCCATATCAACATTATAAACTCATATGTATAATTTGATCAAGTTTGTACCATAATTCCTCAAGAAATTTGATCAAATCATCAAAAGGGCAAAATGGTCAAAATTAGGGTTTTGACTGAGAAAGGGCAATTTTTGATTTTTGACCTAGAAAATGGTTAATTGGTTTGAGGCATGATCTCAAGAGTTCAATTGCATCCTTTTGACCTAATGGCATGACTCAAAACATTGCTCAAGATCAATTGGATTGATAGTTGATTTTCAGTCAACTGCTCAAAAGTCAACTGTACACTGAAAAGTCAAACTTTGACTTTTTGGTCAAAATAAAGTGTCAAAGAACACAATTCATCAAAACATGTCAAAATATGAAACTTGTTCATCAAGAAATCAAAAAGTCAAGATTTCATTTTGAAAAGTCAAAGTTTTCAAACTTATAAATTTTTCTAAAGTATTGAAAACTTCATATTTTTTCACAACTTTGAGCCAATTTTTCACCATGATGTAAGATGATTCAAAAGAAACTTTCAACATGAAATTTGTAGATCTCCATGAGATCTACAACATTTATTTACACAACTTCTCCTATAAATGCTTGAATCTCAAGTTATTAATTCATGAAGTCGTGGTCTTGAAACTAAACACTTAGTGAAAATTTTGCCCTAGTTTAGGCAGAATTTTGACCCAACTTCATGGAATTTGTTCATATAGTTCCAAGGGTAATTTTCAAAAGTGATTCAAAGGGGGGTTGTAGAGAATATTACAATATTTCTAAAATGTCAAAGAACTCCTTGAGATCATTCTTGAACAAGGAGAATCGAAGAGAGGAAGTTATGGTTTCAAACTAAAATTATAGGTCATTTTCATGATGAACAAATATGCAATTTCAATGTTAGGCTGCATAATCTTGCTTTGCAGGCCTTCTAACTTGTGTATCTATCCATCATTAATGTATTACATAAACTTTTGAGCTTTAATCCAAGTGGTTTAATCTTTATCCAATCCACATTTCCATTAATGGCACAAAGTGAACACTTCTATTTTGGAAAAGCAAGCTTTATGCACAAAGTCAATTCTTGAGCCTCTAACTTGTTCCCTCTGATCACACTCCATCTACAAAGTCAGAAGCAAGATGTTTAAAGCATAACTACTCTATCTTAGCAAGTACACAAAGCTTTGAAACTTGGATTTCTCAAAAATCAAATGTTATGCTTAACTTGTGATTTTGAATTCTGATCAACAACAAGCTTCCAAATTTGTTGCTTATAAATAGAGGCACTATTTGTGAGCTAGAACACGAGCTTAAGCACCCTGAAATACACCAAAACTCTCTCAAATCAGAAATTGCCCAAAAACTCCATTGTTGCACAGTTTCTAACCTTAAACACCAAACTCATATTTCCCTCGTGCGTTTCTTGGCCTTTTAGTTCCTAAAGCTTCCATACATCAAGTGTAACCTATCCTTGTCCATGTTTCATCACTGTAACACCATTTACCATAACCTCCATAACCAAAAAACAGAGTCTGCACATTGACTTCTCCAAGCTATTCCAGCCATCAATTGCTCAAGCAAATCATTGCATTAGCTTTCTGGGAACTTGAGGAAGCTAACCTGATCATTGCAGCACCTTGAATCAAGCTCATTTGCATTTCACGATTTCCAGTTTTGAGGTATTTTTCTTGAACTTCTATCTCATTACTTAGGCATTGTTAGACTTGCATTTATGAAGATAAAATGTAGACATCATTGCCCTGAAGCTGTACATGTCCATAGATTTCATTTATATTGATTGAGCTAGGAGAATTTTAAGATTGAATCTCTGAAAATAATTAGGTCAGGATTTGGTACTTTCAAAATTTCTCATTTATCTTTGATTTATAGTTCATGATATTTATATGGTTGGATTCGTATGAAAAAATGGAGCAACTTTCATGTTTACATCTTCCATTTTTGTTGAGAAATGGTGAAGTTACAGGTGGTATGGCTGGAGGTTGAAGATGAAGTGTGTTCAGGACTTGTTTTGCCTTACATATTTATCATTTCAGTTATATTAACAAATGTATAGCCACCACAATGGTAAGACAGCGCGTTGGTAATTAAGAGGTCATGAGTTCGAACCTCAATGCGCTACCTTTTGCTTTTTCTTTTATTTTTCTAATTTCTAAACAAAAAATTTATTTTTGGGCCAGATTCAGAAAATTGTTTTTGCTAATAAACCTCCAAATTCATTTTTAACCTCCCTGACTTTAATTTTATATTTTTATTTTATTTCATCTTTTATTATTATTATTAATATTAATATTATTATTATTATTATTATTTTCATTAATAAAAAATCCAAAAATATTTATATTTTATTATTTATATTTATTTAGTTTATTTTTCTTCACAAAAACAAAAGAACAAAAATATTTTCTTTAATAATTTAATTTCCCTTTTTTAAATACATAGATAATTTAATTTTAATTTTAATTATATTATTTTGTAAATTAAAATCAATTTAGAATTTAGGATTTTTATTTACTAGTTTAATTAAATTCACAAAAACCCTAAAAAATACTTTTCTTTAAATTAATTTATTTCACTAACTTAATCTTAATTTTCTTATTCTTAGTTGATTATTTTATTTTACCTAATTATACTTAAAACCCTTTCATATAAAAACAAAAAAAAAACAATTTTCCTTTCTTTTGCATTATCTTTATATTCTTGCATTTCTACTTATTCAATTTTGTGCATTTATTCAAGTTCAATTTAGTTGTAATAATTATTTAAGTTTAATTTCTTGTAATTCCCCATTTGTAATTTGTACACCCCTCCCCTAAATCATGTAATAGTGTAGTAATTTTAATTTCTGCAATTTAATGCTTTATATACAAATGCTAGTAATTAGAGTTTTGTATGGAAAGATTAAAACCAACAATTAGCAAACCCTAATCAAAGACAAATCAAGCATGTAAACCAATACCCTTGCACACAAATACCCCTTGGGTAAATCCACTTGGTTGCCTTACAAAATGACCATATTATGCATGTGAGGTATCTTAGCAAAAACAAGTAAAATACAAGACCATAGTCCCTCGATGACGCTATCTATGTTGCCTTTCAAAATGATCTTAGTCCCTAAAGAAAAATGCTAAGATATCTGGCAACATTGCTAATCATGGTTATACGATAACCCACGCCCGTCCCTTTTACATCCAAAGATAAGGTTACTTACCAAGTCAATGCTAAGATAACAATGTCAAAGGAAAAAAGAAACGAACATGAAAGACTTTTGAGTAGGTAGAATGTTCCTAGTTACTTACTCAATTTCAAAACAAAAACATCTTTGCTATTTTTAAAACAAGCACCAACACTTTCGAAAACACCTTACAAACTTGAAAACATTTCTAAAAGATCAAACACATTGTATACATTCTTACGAACGAAAATCATTACAAAGTTTGCCTAAACGATGACATCTTTACAAAATACTTTCAAAAACCCCACAAAACACATTTTCAAACAAAAGCAAGTGATATAGCAAGTAACTAAGAGCCCGTGGAAAACCATAGATAAAAGGATGTTAATAGCATCCTTTTTATAATCTACCCCCGAACTCAAGAAAACATCTCAAAGGTCTTTCCTGTGCTTTTTCACCTTTCCTTTTGGATAAAAGAAAAGTCGACGACGACTCTTGCTAACCGCAACATTTGTGATCAAACGCAAAACAACCAAGTCAGTTCTCCCACCGTATCACACTTTTTTATAAGCATATTTAGTTAAAAATTTAAGCCACATACTACAAAAATAACCTTTTAAGTTTATCAGGCCGACCCATTTAAATAAATATGAATAATTTTATTATTATATGGTGTTTATATTTTAAATTAAAATACAAAAATAAAATTTAGATGTCTAGAATGACTTATAAAAATATGCTGAAAAAATCTTATGAACAATATTATAAGTTGTTTTCATAAGTTCTTTCAAACAAATAATATCATAAAATATACGCTATATTAATAGATAAATTTGAATAAATCAATGCAAATACACATCTAGTCTAATTAATTAATCTTTTAATTTGTTAGTTTATTTTAACATTAGTTGAGTTATTTATTTAAAAATATTCACATAAAATATACTTTTATGTAGACTAACAAGTCAATCAGACTCTCAAAAAAATTAGACTCAAACTTAAAAATAAGTTTTTGATAAATCACAAGTAAGACTAAAACTTTAAAATTTTTAGTAAAGTCTAACTTATTTCCACTCTGAATATATAAGATAAAGTTGTGAGATATAATATTTTTTTAAAATTGATTTATTAAATGCGGCTTATGAGTTTCATTAAAAGAAAAGTTGCCCTATAAATTCCATTCAGTATCAGCGTTAAGACGTTTAATAATTAAAATAAAAAATAAAATCGTTGTACAAAAAATTAAAACCCTAAAACAAGAAAGCGGTTCTTCACGAAAAAAAACACGCAACCATTGCGGCTTAAACCCTGTATGAGAAAGAAGTTAGCGTCTCCCTGAACTTGCCGGAAAACGCATGTCGAACTACAAACACTGAACAGGTATCTCCTTTTCTTTCTTTTTGGCCAACACTAAATATCCACCACTAATTCCGAATTTGCCTTTTCACCATACATGGGACCAAATTATAAAAACTACTTTTTTTTTTAATTAAATTAAAAAAAAAGGAGCAAATTGAAAATAAAAACCTAGGTTCAAATTGGTTTTTTCACAGACATATCTCCATAACCGAGAAAGATAACAATGGCGACAAAAGCTCTCTCCTTCACCCTATCTCTCAACGATCTCTTCTCTTCCAAGTCGCCACATACAGCTTCAAGCCTCTCCGTTTTCTCTGTCAGATGTTCCGCCGGTAACCCTTTTTAACGCATGGAAAATGTTATATTTTTATTCTATTTGGTGTTTGGTTTTTGATTTAATGCATGCGTGTAGGAAATGGAGAGAGGCCTTGGAAGAACTCAGATGCCAGGCTTGTGCTTGAAGATGGTTCTATTTGGAAAGCTAAATCCTTTGGTGCTTCAGGGACACAAGTTGGTGAAGTTGTTTTCAATACATCTTTGACAGGGTGAGACAAATTCTGAATCTTGTTATGACATTCTCTTGTTGTTTTATGGTTTGATTTCAACCTAATTCATTTTTGTTTTTGTTTCCTTTGTTATGTTATGTGTGTTCCGTTTCTCAGGTATCAAGAGATTTTAACTGATCCTAGTTATGCTGGACAGTTTGTTCTGATGACAAATCCGCAGATTGGGAATACTGGCGTAAATTTTGGTTTGTATCTATCTACTACCGTACGTTTATTGAATAATCAATCTATCTGATCAATATAATAGACCAAATATGTTGATTTATATTATAATCCCTGTGCTTGGAGTCTGTTTAAACGGTTTTTGATTCATACTCGTTTCCTGTCAGATGATGAGGAATCAGCGCAGTGCTTTCTTTCTGGTCTAGTAATTAGAAGTTTGAGTATCAGGTTCTTTTCTCATGCACTGGAAATATTTTCTGTTGATTGAGATTCACTTTTGTTTGTACTCACTCTATGTCTCTTCCCTGTCTCTTTTCATTGGATATTTGTTCAGTACCTCAAACTGGAGATGCGTGAAAGATCTGGGGGATTACTTGACAGAAAGGAATGTCATGGGAATTTGTAAGTGATTTATGTGAAGAGTTGTTATATTATGAGAAGAACATTAGACACGGACTCTGGTTTTTTTTCTTCTCATTTGACTTTAATGGTAATTTGTAATGCGACAGATGATGTTGATACACGGGCAATCACCCGCAGATTAAGGGAAGATGGAAGTCTTATTGGTGTTTTGAGCACTGACAATTCCAAAACAGATGACGAATTACTTCACATGTCCAAATCATGGAACATTGTTGGTAAGGATATGAATATCGGAGGGGATTACTCGTTTTTTTTTTAAACTGGAATTACATGGCTTCTGATTTGTATTTGTAGGTCTTGATCTAATAAGTGGAGTATCATGCAAGTCTCCATATGAATGGATTGATAGCACAAAGAAAGAATGGGAATTTAGCGCCGGTGAAGGGCCTAGAGACACTTTCCATGTAAGTTGATACAGTAGACTGTTGGTCCTGACTCCCTTTTGTTGAATTTCGGGTAATTAAAATTATGTTTCGTACTAATGAATGAAATTTTTTTAGGTAGTTGCTTATGATTTTGGAATCAAGCATAATATACTTAGGCGCCTAGCATCGTATGGCTGTAAAATCACTGTTGTGCCATCTACATGGCCAGCATCCGAAACTTTGAAGTTAAATCCAGATGGTGTGCTTTTCAGCAACGGCCCCGGAGATCCGTCTGCTGTTCCTTATGCCGTTGAGACCGTAAAGAATATTATTGGAAAGGTGCCTGTTTTCGGAATTTGCATGGGACATCAATTGCTAGGCCAGGCTTTAGGAGGTACAACCTACAAGATGAAATTCGGTCATCATGGAGGAAATCATCCTGTTCGCAACCTTCGAACTGGCCGCGTTGAAATTAGTTCTCAGGTATGCAAACCAATGGAATTCTTTTCTGCACTTTTTATTTCTTAGTATTCCACATAATAATGTCAAATTAGATATATTGATGGATACATAAAAATTGTCAGAATCACAACTATGCGGTCGATCCTGCGACACTTCCTGAAGGAGTAGAGGTTACTCATATCAATCTTAACGACGGTAGTTGTGCTGGTCTTGCATTCCCTGCTCAAAAGCTCGTGTCTCTTCAATACCACCCTGAAGCATCCCCTGGACCTCATGATTCCGACAACGGTGAGATACATCATCAATAGTTTTACCTGGTTTTTACAATTTGATTTTACTGGTTACTGCACTAACTTGAATATGCATTTGACCAATAACCATTGTTGTGATTTTTAATAATGCAGCTTTCGGCGAGTTCATAGAGCTAATAAAGCACGGAAAAAACAAAATGCCAAACAAAAACGTACACGAACTACAATCGGTGTAATAATCATTAAAGCGAGCTGCTATCCTCCGGGGCTAGAAGAATAAAGTATTTAAAAATATGTGATAAAAGCTCAGGTTTGTAGTAATCTTGATCGATGTTTTTGTAGATGAATAAAGGCTTCCTTGTTCGCTGTTAAGATTTTCTTATGTCTATTTTCAGAACAAGGGTTAGCAAGCAGTGATTTTCATAGCTTTCATTGAAGGTTATTGTAACTCAATTTAGTACCAGAAACTGTGTGTTTTAGTTTGCTATTATTGTCTACAACTTGAGATGTTTAGATTGAAATTTCTTATCATTTAGTATGATTGGGCTTGCTATTTCATATCTTGTTCAGTGTTTTATGATTCATTCCGACAATTACTTTTCAAATTCAAAACGTGTTAAACAACTTAAAACCCAAATGAGCCCTTAATCAAACAGTAGTGGTCAAAACAAGATGATGGTTGTATGGTGAGTTGGCTTGGACAAGGGGGTGTGACAGAGATGTCTGCTGTTAATATTTGATATTTTGACTGTGCAAAACTGTTCTATTATTTAACTACTTTTTCTCATATACGTATGTCAGAACCACATCAAGAATATACAACTTAACAACTTTCTAGAACAGCACTTATTCACTATATATACATTCAATGTATTTATTGTAGTACCTTGAATTGAGCTTAAAAACACAATTTATAGAATTCTATATGGTATAAGTATTGGTTCATCTTAGGACTACTTTACAGTTTTCTTCTTGAATGTATCCTTGTTCCGGCCACTGTTTTATACACTTCTCAACTGTGCATCCACCAGATGGCTCCTCATCCATTGCGACACTTCTCAACTGTGCATCCACCACATGACTCCTCATCCATTGCGACCCACTGTCGTGAAATCTTCTGGTGAGCATGCTGGTCATTTTCCTGCAATTGCATTCCTCTTCACACACCACTCTAGCAACAAATATCCACCGCCGATCACCATAGAGCTCCCTCTGCCACATTCCGATATGTTTTTCATCATTTTGGTGATTTTTCAGCACCTTTCTCCTCTCATTTCCATAGATAGTCATGTTTAGGTTTGGATTTTCTGTTACTTTCGCTTTCAATTTCACTATCCTTTCTTTGATTCGTTGCAAAAAATTGGTAAGTGGTGCCAATGATGCATGTTGGGCTGATGTTGTTGAGCTTTGAATTGAAGGGCAAGGTCGCGAGGATCCTTTGCTCAAATGATAAAAGGATATTCCAACCAAGGATCAAGGCAATTGAAAACAGGTTAAGGCCTCCCTCCCTCTGCAGTGTTCTTTGGTATTCAATAGATGTCAACCTTCAATCTCATTGGTATTCAATTGATGTCAATCTTCAATCTCAGTTTTATTCGTTTATGATGTGTTATGGCATTTGGGTAAAGGTGAAAAACACATATTCCAACGTTGTTAATCATTTGTACGATGTTGTCTCTAATCTTATTTTGATGTTAATAATTTGTACAATGTTGTCTCTAATCTTATTTTTATGAAGAAAGAGGAAATAGATATCCAAAGCTATACGGGAAATTTGATAGTTTAATAACTAATTTTGATGCATTTATGCATTTTACTAACATTGTCGATAAACACGTTGAACAATGTGGAAAATTCTTTATGATTATGGCATTTGTCGGTCTTACAACGGACATTGATTCAATCTACAACCAAATTTTGTCTAGTGCAATTATCATTTCATATGACATTGTTTGTGAGTAGCGACTGCAGACCTGTGTGCTTGTAGGACTACAACTGATATGTTGATCATGGTGGTTTTGATGATGATTGGTGTTCGATGAAATCCTATAGCTTGATCATGTTGATTCTTGGTAATATCTTTTCAATTGTCTCTAATGATGATGCTCATCTTGAAGTTACCTGAAGCTTTAACATGGAGAAACTGCAAGGTTTCAATGAAGTGCTAAACTCAAAGATAATATATTAAGGAATTTGAAGCTTCAAAGTTGTGAAAGAGAGGAAATGAAAGTTTGTCTAGTCAATTGTGTGTTTAGCATAGTGTCTAAGTTACTAGAGTATTATAAAAGTGTTAGAGTAACTCATAAGTTACTAAGATAACTTTCACACACTCACAAAATGTTATGGACGACCTTCTTATTTTGTTAAAACCACCAAAAAAATGTTTTACACCAATAACTAGTTGGTTACAAGACCAAATAATCCTTTATGAGTAAAATTTTCACTAGATAATCGATTAAAAATTAGGGTTTGTTGATTATCTTTTTTGTAACATCTCATAATCGATAATTAGGGTTTATAACTGATTAGTGAAGATTCAATTTAAATTTTTTTCAAATTTGAACTACACACTCGATTATGAGTATTAAAAAGTCCATTAATCATTTTTCTTTTTTTAGCTATATTTTCTCTTATATCATGAGAGCGCATCCTTACTTTCATATACACTATATTGCTTATCTGTGCTCTTTTATTGCAATAACACAAATTATTTTTTAAGTAATAAACTTTTAAATTAATTACGAATTTTAAATACAATAATTCACTTCTCACCCTCTCTTGTGTTTGAAATCACTTGTTTAACAAGTTTTATCGGAGCCTAACTCTAGTTAAAGACTAATCGTCTTAAGAGAAAGTAAATGACTTCAAGAGATTTACTAAACAAAATCCATCATTTAATGGAGAAAATTATAGTTTGTGGAAAGAGAAGACGAGAAACCTCAATGAGGGATCAATCATGATATTTAAAAGGTTGTGAAAGAAATTTTATTTGTTATCACACATGAAAGGTGTCGTGGTGAACAAAGACAATGATGACGATTGGACCAAAGATGAAAAGGAAAAGTTGCAACCCAATTTGAAAGTAAAAAACGATCATCACTATCACTCTCGATCTTGATGAGGTTTTGAGGGTTTCTCTTGCAAAAGAAATGTGAGATATTTTTCTCGTTAACCTATGAAGGTACTACTGAGATAAAAATATTGGGGTTAAACACATTGAAACATGAATATGAGCTCTTCAAGATGAAACCTGAAGAGAAAATTTATGACATGTAAATGTCATTCACTTATATCTTGAATCACATGAGAACTCTTGGGAAAACTTTTCAAAATGATGACTTAGTTGTGAAATTTCTTAGATGTCTAAACTTTAGTTGACAACCAAAAATCATTGTGATTTTCAAATATATGGATTTATCAACCATGAACATGTTAATTTTATTTAGTAAATTACAGGAATATGAGATGGAGTTGAAAAGACTTGTGAAGAACAAATTTATGCTTACAAACTAAACTTTAAACATTGAAGCTGGAATAGCCCACATAATTTCTAGTCATGGCCGATAACCACTCCAACACGTCCACCATTCGCTATATATTTTCACCAAATTCTACTTGACAACAAGGTGACAAGAAGAGGAAAAATCTTGCACTAAAAGTCGTAAACACTATAAATATGAAAATAGAAAATGAAGATAACGAAAGCAAAATTAATGAAGACATAAAATTCATGTTTCAAAAGTTTCTAAGGCACAAAAAAAATCTCCAAAGCTTCATAAGAAAAGTGAAGAAAGATCTTCACTCATTTCTATATACATGCCCGACCCAAAATGCAGGCAGAGTAGGCTCTTGTCTAAGGTCTCCATATTTTTCTTATTTTATCTATTATTTTCGGTAATATTTATTGTAGAAAATAATAATATTTAATAATATTTAATTCTTATTATTATTATTATTATTATTATTATTATTATTATTATTATTATTATTATTATTATCATCATTTATTTTTCTATTTTTCTGTTTTTGGTCTAAATTATCATTAATGTTGAATTCCTATTTTGATACCGAGACAATAATTAAGATTAAATATGTGTGGTCATTTAAAATATGAAATTATTCATTAGTCTATTAAAGAGTGTATGAATCTAAGGTTTTAGATTCCAACGCTACTACTTTTCTTTAATTATATATATATATATATATATATATATATATATATATATATATATATATATATATATATATATATATATATATATATATATATATATATATATATATATATATATATATATATATATATATATATATATATATATATAAAATTGTGAAAAAAAGATTAATCATTGTAATAGACAATTAGATTTTATTCATCAAACTTTACGGTATTAATTTAAATTCTTTTTATTTATTTAATTGCCTTATTTGTGAATTTTATTTACTTATGTTTATTGTAAATTTTTTATTTATTTAGGATAATAGTAGCTCAAAATTTTGTGTATGAAATACAAAACTATAAAAAAAATAAAAGAGTTAAAGTTTTAATTAAGCCATAAAAAGAGATTTATAAATAAATTGATTGAAAATAAATATAAAAAAATATAAGCAAATTGATAATGATAATTTTTTAGATGGGAATTGATAACTATAATTTAATAAATATGACTTTACATGTTAAAATTTTATTTTATTTTTAAATATTATTATTTTTAATTTTTCATTATAAAATTCGCCTTAGGTCTCAATATCTATTGAGCCGATGCTGCTTGTTGTTAAATTGTAATCCAATGTGTCGAAACTATGTGTCGAAAAGATTTAATTTGTTTTAGATTTAAATAGATTTGATTTAAGTCTAGAATAAATTAGATTTGATTTAGTAACAAAAAGATATTTTGGGCTTTGGGCTTAGGGTGTAAGCTAAGTTATAAATAGAGGGAGTAACCCCTATTTTTGTAAGCAAGTCAAGCAAGTCATTCACAGTATTTTGCAGTTGCAAAGTGAATAATAAAGTTTTCACAGTTTGTGAGCAGAGAGAAACTCTGCAGAAATTATTTGTCTTGTCTTCTTTTCTTTGTTTGTCTCATAATTAAATTGTCATTGTGGTAGAAATTCATCATAGACTTTGGTGAGTTTCCAACATCTGGTATCAGAGCTTTGTTTCGATTCAAGAGAAGTGTCAATCAAGAACGATTGAAGAATTCACGATGACAAGTTATGGGAATGCAAATTATCCAGCAACTCTATCAATTCTGAAAGTTGACAACTATGAGAATTGGTGCAAACAGATGAAAGTCTTATTCAGGTGTCAAGGTCTTTGGGACCTTGTAAAAGATGGAGTCGGAGCGCTTGGAGAAAACGCTTCAGAAGAAGAAAATAAGAAATACATAGAATCTGAGAAGCTGAGTTATAAAGCATTATTTATAATTCATCAATGTATCAGCTCAGACAATTTCGAAAAGATTAGTGATTCAGAATCTGCAAAAGAAGCTTGGAAAATCCTTGAGAAGTCTTTTGGAGGCGCTGAGAAAGTGAAAGAAGTGAGGTTACAAACTCACAAAAGGACCTATGAACTGCTTCAGATGGAAGACTGTGAAAGCATATCTGATTTCTTCACTAGAGTTACAAAACTAGTAAATCAAATTAAGATATGTAGAGAAGTGTTAACAACAAGAGCTGTTGTGTCGAAAATCTTGAGATCTTTAGCTCCTAAGTTCGACCACATAGTGGTGGCGATAGAAGAGGGGAAAGACTTGTCGAAATTGACAAAGGAAGAGCTTCAAGGGACGCTTGAATCTCATGAATAAAGAATGAACAAAAGAGCTGCAGGAAAATCAAAAGTGATGTGGCCTTGCAGGCACATTCAGCAAAAGAGACCAAAGGCAAAGGAAAGTGTTTCGACAGAGGTAGAGATGGCTACAACAAATCGAATGGTAGAGGAAACCAGATTGAAGGAAACATGTCGAATGAAAGAAGACCATACCAAGGCAACCAAAGAGGTGGTGTTGCAAATAAAGGAAGAGGTGGTGGTCAAAAACCTGATAAGAGTCACATTCAATGTTACAATTGTCAGAAGTATGGTCACTATTCGAGTGATTGTCCAGAAAAACAAAAGAATCAAGAAAGTGATGCAAAGCTTGCAAAACATGAAGAAGAAGAAGAGATGATGCTGATGGTCACAACAAGAGATGAAGATAGATTCAAGGACCAATGGTACTTGGATTCAGGATGTTCATCACATATGTCTGGAAGGAAAGACGGGTTCGTCAATATAAAGCCCTCAATGAAAA